AACATTCAAACATTTGTCATTGTTCCTTAACAAAATAAATATCTGAATAGAAAAATATATTTCTTAGTTTCTGCATGTGCTAATGGGGGATATTGTTTCAAGTCTTGTATCTTGTTTCAAGGCACGTATCTTCAGCGCAGTTTGCAGTACAGGCTGCAATATTAATATTACATGTTTTGTCTCGAAGCGCATATTTAACAGTGAGTTGATAGTAAATCTGCAACCTAACTCGAGCTAATACACGTTACTATGTTAAATTTATGTTCATTAACAAAAACAGTAACATCTGTTAAAAAAATGTAACGACCCCATTTTTATTTGGTAAAATGTAATATTCGGACTGTTTTGACTGTAATATTCTGAGTTTTATTAAAATTAACCATTGGTCATCCAATATCATGCATTTTTTAGATCATGATAACCACAGATAAAACCAGGCACAGCCTATAACAGCTCACTAACATGGCAACATTTTACTTTATGGTTTCTATGGTATTTGTAAAAAACAGTAGCCTAAATACATGATTAAATACTGTCATTATATTCCATTAGTCATTTAATACATTGTCTACATGCGCTTGTCTGAAGTATAAAATCATTTCTTACCCGTAAGCCAATCACATAACGTCTGGTTATGACGTGTGTTATTCGCTGGCTCAGCCGCATCGAACTTCCACTGTAAACACATGTATGATGCGAAAACGAAACCATCGAGCGAAATACCGGAGTGAACATGGCTGACCAAGTTTTGCTGCCTCCTTAACCTGATCCTCCATGAGTGCAACCAAGGGGGACACAATCCCAACTATCGCCTTGCCGGTGTTGTGCCGAATTTCGACTGCCTGCCAAATTATTACCCCCCTCGTTGAAATCAGTACCTGATTGCCTAATCCTAACCCCACCCCTAATCCTAACCCCTCCCCCAAAACTAATCCTAAACCTACCATACTAGGGGGGTAATAATTTGGCGGGGGTCAGAATTCGGCACCACACCGGCCTTTGGCCTGCCCAGTTTCTCTCTGACGATCGGTAATATTTGATAAATTAAACTTTTTCCAAAAACCTGTCGGGAGTAGGCCCACGACATCACCTCCAATCAAAATGTTTAACAAACACTCTTCTTGTTCGGCCTTCAGTTTGGAAATGCCGGGAATATTCTCCACAACAGAGCGAATTGCATCCCGTGTCTCCATATCCGCGGTCGTTTTCAATTTCCCCAATCTCATGGTGCGTTCACGTGCTATGGTAATTATGGTAAATACCAAAAGCCGACATGGAAAATGCACATGAACACCCCCACACGTGGTATTTTCCACTGGGCAGCTCGTAGAATATTTTGATGCACGAGTTGCCGAGATGAGATTACCTTTGACCTTTTCAAAATGGCGGAGAGCAACGCAAGAGTTGTGAATGGTAAAAATATGTACTATTCATGATCTAGAAAATATACAGCATATATTATTTACGTTTGAGTTTTGATAAATCATTTTCTTGCTGTAGCAGATGACTTAAGCAATCTAAAATAGTTTTAGCTAAATAACAGGTCTGGATCTCCATCTTTTTACCACATTACGACAACAAAAGCACTTGAACGCAACACACTGGTAAATACCAGTTCACAAGTGGAAAATATCATATTTTCCATAGCACGTGAACGCACCATTAAACTCGGCGCTTAGCGTCTACGTCACGGCTCTCAGCCCGCCCTCTGTTCGTTGATTGGCCGGCTGTTTTCAGGCCGGAGGAAAACTGAGAGACATGTCGCTATCTCAGACTGAGTACAGAAGCGAACTGAAATAGAGCGGAAGTACGGCTATGTTTCCAGTGAAATGTGTGAGAATTATCTGCTACTGCGATTGGCTGTCGGTTGCTGAGCATTCAGTCACACACACCATTCTAACACCGCATTGTTTCACACACACTGCACAGGTTTGGCACATGCGGGGTTAACAGCACGAACGCGCCACTAACCCTGTTACAAAGCACGGTTTCATGGCAAAAATCCGTGCTTGTTTGATTATTGCATTAATGTAGAAGCTACACTTTCAATAACACTGATGTGACACTAGTTGGAAAAAGTAGCTTGTTACTGGAAATGTCAATGTTTAACTGAAACCAGTGCATGGATCGGCGTCTGTGCATCCCAGAACAACTTGTGTTTTAAAGGCCATTAGTTGTTTGCGTGTTGCATCACTTCTGCATATCAGCGCGTGGCGTCTGTAACTGTCCGACTGACGCGTGACTGACGGATCTGTCTCTCAGAGTGAGCACAAACTGAAGTCTTGTCAAAAACATTGAGAGACGTTGTCAAATTTGTAGCGCGAGAGGAGTAGAGAAACGCTGCAGCTGCCACATTAATGGTCAGTGTTACCCATGATGCTGAGCAAGTCTGACATCACATCCTGTCACCTTCACAACAGGCTTCAGTTTCCTGTCATGGTGTTTCTGCTGTGTAGCCAAACTGTACACTAACTATGTAGATCAATTTAGTTGCCTCGTAAAAAACGTCTGCATGAGATTTGTGGAAAAGGTGTGTTGATAAATAGTAGAGATGCACCAATGTATCGGCTAACAATCGGTATCGGGCGATAAAAGCTATTTTTTCACTATCGGTTTAAAAACAGCCGATTATATCCTGTCAATTAAAAGGGTGCGAAAAAAAACATGTCAGACTGCAACTCATACTGTGTGTGAAGAAAATCTCTCTTATGTTGAATTTAGGGCAAGTTAACACGACAATAACGCATTAACAGCTAAAAACAGCTACATTACATAGTGCTTTATTTGACCCTATGGCTCACCCGTAGTTCAAGACAGGGTTGCCAGATCCGCAGTTTTTCCCTATACTATATTATTTGTAGCACCTCCCGTCCATTAATCGCAAACCTGTGCTGTTTGTAGTCTCAGCTTTCAAATTCTGTACATTTTATCACGAAATTCAAACAATAAATGGCGTTTTGGCGCTCTTAAATGTGACGTGGCAGATCGCTGCAGTTCAAGAGTCTTTTCTTCGAAAAACATGCATGAATATCATAAGGTATGTTGAAAGATAGCGGTGCAACTTACCGAAATCCGTATCATGTCTCATGTAGTAATCACTCAATGTGTTTCATCCGCGGAAAGACGTCAATAAAACAGCTTGTGAACAATATCAGTGTTGGATTTATATTGATGCATCTCTATAAATAGTGCATTTCTTATACAACGTATATTCCTATAACTTCCGGATGAGTCCGGTTGAACTCCGACAGGTTCAGTTAACCCCGTGAGGTCGTCATCATCATCATCATCATCATCATCCTCACAGTGAGGAGATCGGCTCCAGACGTCGAGGTGTGAAAGACAGTCACAGTCTGTTAATGTGAGCCTGACTCTCATGACCTCGCAGCGAGACCCATCTGTTCCTGCTGACCGTCCGTGTGTTAATAGGGACTTTAAGCAACAGCTGCGAATGGAACGGCAACGGCATTCTGGCGTTGTATTGCGCATGCGCAAATTTAACTGCTACTTCCTGACGTTCTACTGTAACCGTCTACTACGGGAGAACAGCTGATTTGCCGTAGTCGCTGCAACGTGAGAGATTAGGTAAATAAAGGGTTTTTTTTCTGGCATATGACATTGTAATTGCATCAGTTTATTAATGTACCACTAGTCTTTTGTATAATATATGTTAAAATGTTTTAAACGTAAGCTAATTGTAACGATTTTTTTCCGTTTGTATAAAGATATGTCTGCTGTTAGCAACAACACCCCAGGTAGCATTGAGATTAACGTAGATAATGTGAAGCGAATAATGTAAGTATTGCATAAACATCCTTCTCAAAATCCATCTTAAATGTATTACTATGCTATTTAAATGTTTTTAATACTGGTTAAAGTAGATTAACAGATAAGAAATAGATTAATGGATTAGTTATTATTAGTAGTTATCTATCAAGACCGTTAATTATACTTACTTTTCAAAAATTAGCCTAAGTTACTTCATGTTTCTTGTTGATTAGAGCCCCTATGGAGTGGACAGAGCAACATGATATACTTCTCTGTAGAGAAATCCTGCTCACAGAACCATACAGGTACAAGAAGGGCAGTGTTGATAAGGGCAAGGCCTGGTCAACAATTGCAAACACATTGAATTGCTCTCAAGATCTAAAATTTAGGGTTATGCAGAGGTCAGTGAGGGAGAGATTCAACTTGATTCAGGCGAAATACAAGGCCAGAAACAACAAAGACGAGAAGAGCAGTGGCACATCAGCAGAAATAACAGAGCTTGATGAACTCATTGAAGAAATAACAGAGAAAGAAAAAGCAGCTGAGGAAAACAAAGGGAGTGATGAGAGTATGAGGAAGTTAGAAACAGACAGGGCCAAAGCAGAAGAGGCAAGGAAGAGGGCCATGGAGAGGGTTAGCCAGACCAACAGGAGGCTTAGTGAAGAGGGAGAGGACTGGACAAACAACAAACGTAGGAGAAGGAGTGGGAATGACACCATTGAGTTTTTGAGGGAGAGAAGCCAAACTGAGAGGGTTCTAAGGGAAAAGGAATTGGAATTGAAAAAAATAAAGGTTGAAGAGCAAGCAAAGGCAGCACAACAAACACAAAAGCAGATGAGTGACATGATGCAACTAATGCAACAGCAGCAACAGCAAATGCAGGCAATGCAGACTATGCTACTTCAGCAACAGCAACAGCAGGCAAGCATTACTTAGCCTCATTGAAAATTTGTCAAAGAAATGATTATTTTATTTTTTTTGCAATTTACATTTTTTGTGATTTCATTCATAAAACGTTTCAATGTATAAATCCTTCTATTAATAAATAAATAAATAATTATTATTAAAATAAATATAAATATAAAATCTGCTAACATAAAATAGCATATATTTGTAATAACATTTTGTTAGTAGCCTATACTGTATGTATATTGTGTGTTTGTGTAAACTAACTTATATATTAGTCTATATTTTTGTTAATAATAAAATAGAAATCTGTTATAAAATGTCTCTTCTTTTATTCTGTTTTTATATTGTGTGTTTGTATATTATGTTATATTTATTTATTTTTAATTTATTTATTTACACATAGGCCTACATAGCACAGTGTAGTTGTGCATGTGTTACCTCATGAAAAATAGTCACGAATGTGTGGAGGATCCAAGTTAAAAAACTGCGATGTCTGATTACCGTACAGACAAGTTAGTGCATTTCTTAACAAAGCAGATACAACATACAATTTTCCAACACTACTTAAACCAATTTTTAAATTTTTTCTGAAGTCCATGAACTTGAAGTAGTTTGCTATGTACCCAAACAACCACTCCACAGACACTCTGACTTCACTCATTCGTTTGTTGTATTCCATCATTTGAGGGGTGAGATGAACATGTCGAAATGGGGCTTGCAGATGCACACGCAGTGGGTATGCTGGGTCCCCATACACACACATTGGATGACCATCTACAGACATGGCATGATGTTGCAGCAATGCCAACAGCCCAGATTCTGCCAGCATTCCAGAGTCATGCTTCTTTCCCTCTGTTAAAATATATTTTTTAATTAAAAAATCTTTTTTATTTTATTTTATACATTTAAAAGGGAATTACAATGTTTTCGTAGATTGTAAATTATTTAGACTTACCTACAGGGCCATACAAATGGCCAATTAAACCATTAGGAATGGCTACTGCCTGGTATTTTAGACTGTGGATGCGTTTATGACCATTATATAAGATCCTCTGTGTTACACCTGGTCTGGCAATGGGTCGTACAGTGCCATCAATGAACCCAAAGCAATTATCCAGAGGGGCTCCCATTTGGAGGATGCAGTCAGCATATGTTCTCAATGCTACAGGGTTCAGTATGTTTTCATTCCACTGAGTTATCCTGTGATGATGTGCAGAATATATATAGTCCAGCATGGAGTTTGTGGCCATGCAAAGGACCGGGACTTGTCTGTGACCAAACCTTTGCATCATATCACTGTACCGGCAAGGGTATGCCAGCCTTTTAAGGAGCATACACAGCGCCTCGACTCCTCCCACAACACTTCTCTGATCACAAACAATTTCATTGGGAATCCCGAGAGCATCTACCAGAATTGCTAGGTCACATTTTCTGACACGAAATTCATTTAAGCATTCGTCTTCATCCATGTAATCAAGGTTAAAAGGCAAGTATTGCTTACACGGTAAATCTAGGTTTTTAGACTTATTTACATCATACAATAGTAAAAACTCCTCTTCTGACAATAGATTGTCATTTAATGCCAAAAGCAATCCTTCTCTTGCTTTTTTAAATGACATTTTTTTGTATCAGAATAAATGACTGAATGCCGTGTTGCGCCGTCCTGTTTACGGTTGCTTAGTGATTTTTACGTTCTTGGCTACGGCGGTCTGACAGCATACTTCCGGTCACCGTTGCCGTTCCATTCGCAGCTGTTGCTTAAAGTCCCTAATGTGTGTGAAGCTCCGGGGAGATCATGGACGGGCAAACGTCTCATCACGGAAAGACATGGCATTGCTGTCGGCACATCCATTATATGCAGTAAAGGCATCTGTTCATTCATGCATTCACTGCATAAAAGCCTTTTCAAGGGTTCATTTAGACTAAAAAAAAGGACAAAAACATTTACTGTAATGCACTTACAAGTGCATTGGGATTAAACATAAAAACACAAGGTGTGCCCACTGAATGCATAATTTTTGCAATGTTTTGGCAGCTGATTCAATCAATTTATGCAAATTGGGTAATTAGATGGAAAAAATGCATGCAAATCAGGTACAAAAACATGCAAAAAATGTGTACTCAATGCAATGTGGATGTGCTGTTTGAACATTTTAATGCACAGCACACAAAAGAAAAAGGGAGAGATTTCAGGTTTGTGTTACTGTAAAAGTCAGCCTTCCAGAGCAGAATGACAGACAGTAACTGTAATAATACACTGGATTGTATCAGTCTCTGCTGCAGCCGCTGGAGTCAAACACACACGCTCACACACAACCAACAGACTTTAATTGGGTTGTTAATTGATTTTCTTGTCAAGCATTAGTACCATGATGGATGGCTCATTTTCTGGGAGTGCTGAACACACACACACACACACACACACAGGGCCTATGCTGCTTCTCATCTACTGTCAGATGTGGGATATCCCTACTTGAAATTCTGAGGTTTCCGAGCTTTTGCATGCTGGGATCAGATTGAGCGTGGGAAGCGGGAGTGATGATGGACCAGTTTTGCTCAAGAACACAATGATTATATGTTGGTCCACCGGCTCTAACCAGCATAAACCAGTCTGGACTGACATCGAATTCATTTTTCAACAGGGCTCTGCATCATTTTATCAAAAACGTTTAAGCATAATAACAATTCTTGTGTAATAATATAATTGTATGCATGCATTTTCTTATATGTATTGCACTACCATTCAAAGATTTGTTCAGTAAGATGTTTTAATGTTTACGAAGTGTCTTCTGCTCACCATCATTTATTTGATCATCAATACAGTAAAATTGTGAAATATTATTACAATTCAAAACGGCTGTTTTCTATGTGAATATACAGTAAAGTGTAATTTATTCCTGTGATCAAAGCTGTATTTTCAGCATCATTACTCCAGTCTTCAGTGTCACATGATCCTTCAGAAATCACTCTAATATGATGATCTGATGCTCAAGAAACATTTATGATTATTATCAATGTTGAAAACAGTTGTGCTGCTTCATATTTTTGTGGAAACTGATACATATTTGTAAAATTCTTCATTTATTTTTAACACCATTTATTTTAAATCCAAACTATCACTTTTAATTAATTTAATGCGTCCATGCGGAATAAAAGTATTAAAAATCTCACTGACCCCAAACTGTTAAACACTACTGTATATCATTGATATTACTTATATTAATAATAAATTATATTGTTTTGTACATCTGAACATTTTTACCTTTGTTTTATATCCCTGTTAAAATGGTGTTTATGATGGTCTTCTGGAATATGATGCAGACATCACTCAGAGAGGAGGAGGAAATGATTCATAAGTTCAGAATTCTCCTGGATCTCTAAAGACTGACGGTCTGTTTCGCTGTTCAGTGTCAGAGTCACTTCATCTTATTAGGGAAGATCCCAGAACATACTGCACAGATCTCTTTGAATCATCACTCTGATTCAGAACATATTGGTTTTTCAATATTGTTTATGAGAGCGTAAGCCTGTCCAAATCTGACCTGCCAATGAACTCCTACAGGCGGTTGAACTAATGAAAGCAGAGACGGTTCATAATGCTCACAAGACTCGACCTTTTCATTTCTTTTTCAAGGAAAAGTCACACACATACTGTCTTTACTTCATGATTTAAAGTCCCCCTGTGTTGAAAATCAAGTTTTAATGTTGTTTACGTGTCTATGTGGTGTTTTTAATCTGCTTTAAGACAAACCATGTGTAAATTCATAAGTCGACAGCATTGCTGAGTATTTTCTGCTTTAAACTGCAGTGAACCAAAGACAGTCTCAAACTCACGGTTTGAAATCGCTGGTGTTTCTGACGTCACAAACGACCTTGTAACCAATCAGATCAACGTGTGATCGTCAACCAGTGGATCTCTGAGCTGAGTGAGTGAGTGGAGGCGGGGCTCATTTGCATATTCATAGAACCGCGTATACTAAATGAGGCAAGGGTGTCGAGTTACATTCAAGATATTTTAAGACATTAAAGCAGCACTAGGTTACTTTTCAACCTTCATAATATACTTCCACGTCTCTTGTGATGGTACATCGACTTACAATAGGTTGAATGACACGTCTGCCATAGCCTGACGGGGTCTGTAGCGTTTTTAATCGTACTTTTAAACTTCGGGTTTCGGGTAGTAACCGGCGAACAAAGAGAACTACAAAATTCGACTGCTTTACGGCATATACGTCACTTCCACCACCACCCCCACTTCCTTAAAATCGGACGTGCGAGCCAAATGTTATAGTCATGGCCGAAGCAGCACAGAAAAACAAGAAAGCAAAGGTTTTATCGGAGCAAAGCAAAAAGAGAAAAAGAGAAAGTGATCGCGTTAAAGGCAGAACGAGGATCAACGTTGGGCCAGCATTTTCTCGCTGGCGTGAGCTGAAGGAGGAGGAGGGGTGCCCGACCGATGCGGACTTGGAAAAAAAAAAAAAAATCTAACGAAAGCCTGTGTCTAAACGGCGTGCACAAGTTTGGTAGGGGCTACATTCTTGCAAGTAAATATAAGTTGTACAAAATCATATTTTAGGATACCTAACATGTCTGTGATATTTGTTTATTTGTCTTGCCTCAAGCCAAATCGATTGGTAAAATTTGCAGATTCATTTATGGTAGCTTGATATTATAATATTGACGATATATGGTTATTATCAACCACTCAAACATTGCATTGAAGTATCATATAGATTCAGTAAAACGGTAACCAATAGACTAGGCTACTATAATGACGCTGGCTTGTAAACGTGATCATCGCGATCATTTGTTGTTAGAAAAAAATAAAACCCATGAAATTATATTTATATGACATGCTGAAATATATGCCACTGTACCTGGGATGAAGACATTTCACACGCGACGCAAGCAGAACACCTGCATGTGACCTCCTCCTTCAGTGTTCAGGGCTATCATGGTTGTCAACAAATGCACGTGCATGTAGGATGACAGAGTTTACGACAGTAGTAGAGGTCTAGAGGACAATACTGTTTCCCAACTGTAGGGGGACCCCACCCCGACAGCAAAAGTTCCCTGTTGTTACTTTAAGACATTTCAAGAAGGAAAAAACGTTTAAATATGTCATTTTGGTGATTAAAGATGAGTTTTAAGGGATACAATTATTGACTAGGGGGACTTTAAAGTAATATTTAATTCAAAAATGAACATTCAGTCATTATATACTCAGCTTTACTCGTGAATTTTACACAGTTATTGAACTGAACCGAATCGACATTGAGCTGAATATTGCCTTCTAGAGCTGCTTTACAGCTGGATATGATTTTGAATATTTGATGAAGTTTGCATCATTATTTTCCAGTGAAGCTGCTTTGAAACAATCTGTATTATATAAAGCACTTTAGGAATAAAGGTGACTTGACTTGACTTGTGTCCTTCTATCTCATTGTGCAAATTTGCACAGAAGAAATCAAGTTACGGGTTTGGATCAACATGAGAACGAGTATAATTTTTTGTCAGAATTATTCGTTTATTTGTTGTCCCCCTGCGTGCGAAAGAAACCAGACGTCTCTCCTGTGGTTCTGTTCAGAGTTCAGTTTGTGCAAAGACTCCCAGATTCCCTGCGCTGATGTTGTTCATCTGTCCGGGATTGTTCCTCGGACAGACTGATCAGGTCCTCAATCCCGTGCACGTGTCCCGCGGGACTGACAGGTTTCATTAGCACAGGCCCGGGAACAGTTATTACCCAGATAAAGCCAGATCACTGCAGAGGAAATTGAATTAGAGAGGACATCAGTTCTCACGGAGAGAGATCGGACGCCAGACGAGAGGCTGGATGAATGTCAAAGATATTCCTGCAATCTGCGATAAAGCAGGACACACTGCAGCGCTGCCGAGCCGAGATAAGAACATCCCGATCCCAAGAAACTGAACGTCCTGGGAAAACTGCTGATCCACACGTTTGTTTTACAGCCTTCCGAGTTAATTGAGCAGCAGCTCGTCTGGTAAAAACACTTTCTGGGAGGGAATTCAGCAGGAATGAAATGCTTCTGATGGTGTTGTCTGTTTTTGCAGGCACAGTCTAACAAGGGAAATGGTGATGGGAAAAATATGAGATGGGAGGGAAACATTTATTTCAATGCTTTTGCGTTCTCTCGCAAAAGTTTTCAGTTTTTCCGCTCGGAAAACCTTTACGTTCCTCAGAGAAACTGCGTTCACTCACAAATAACTCAAAAGGTACGGAGCCCCTAAAGGGACATGGTGCTGGAAAAAATATGAGATTGGAGGAAAATATATTTATTAAATGTTTTTGCGTTCTCTTAAGAAACTTTGCGTTCGCTCGGAAAGAACTCAAAATTGAGTTCACGTAGTGTAACAGCGCAGCGCTTCTGTGTTGTACGTCACACGCAGGCTCACCAGGGGCGTTGCTAGGGTCTTGATACATTGGGGGCTTAGCCCAGACCCCACCACCCACCCACCCCCGCTTTTGGTAACTACTACTTCTACTCAGAGGCACATAATAATAAGCAATAATAATATAAATGGGGGGTCTGGGGGACCTCCCCCAGGAAACATTGGGCATTAAACACTTAATTTCCTGCATTCAGGTGCATTTTTTGTAGCTAATTTAATTGATAGGTAAAAATATAGAATGCTTTATTTGTAGAACTGCAACAGCTATTCACAGAAACACAAATAAATAATACATGAATATTAAATATATAAAAAAATGAATATAAAACTATGTATGTATATATATATATATATATATAT